ACTAATTTTTCATTTAACCCACTTTTTGCAAACTAAAAACAATTAGTTACAACACAAATGAAAATTTCCCATAATTCAAACAAGCGACCTTCTAACATTTCTGAGAACTCATGTATATAATCCTATTTGGCTAAAAAGTTAGAGGAAGCAATTGTCAAAGATTAGCTACAACCAATATCAGACCCTTTCTCACGAATCATGTATTTCAAAGAATAAAGTTCGATATCTTACATACACACTATATATCACAGAATTCGAAAACAGACACTTTCAGATCCAGCTATCAATTCGAAATGTCTTCTCCCGAATCCATCTTAAAAGCTGGGCGCATATCCTATTTCCTCTTTTCCCATGCCCCTCATTTCTCATCTTGGCACTACCTTCACCTTAAAAGGTCACTTTGGTTCGAAAATATATTACTCTGCAGTATCATTCCACTTAAAATGCACAAACTAGTTGGTTGAAAGAGAGGACGACGACCTTCGAATCATCTTATGGTTTCCAAGCAGCAGGAGGTGGTGGGGGAGTTGGAAACATTGGTGGAACCGCAGAGAAAATGGTATTTTTGTCGATCCCAGTGGATTTGTCGCCTGACAATGCCACAAGTGCGAAAACCAAACCTGCATTGCCCGCAAGAGTGGGCTCAGTGTAGTTGTAGTTTGTACGGACATCATGAAAGCCATCATGCTTATCAGGGCCAGCAACCATTGCTCCAACAAGCGTATTTGGGTTTGGTTTTGAAGCATCCCTCCATTTCCACCCTCCTTTACAGTTATATTTGATCTTATTCTTAGGGATAGAGGCACCTCTATGGTGCACATGTTTTGGATAATGGTTACCAAAACCCACAATGTAGCTCATCTTCCGAGGATTTTTGCCAAGGATGTAATCAATCTGTCAACGCAACAGTTGAAAAAGGGAAATTATTGGTCATCCTTCCTTGACAAGATTTAAGAAGTTAGCTAAACTTAATCTACTTAAAGACCTTATCAAACACATCGAGTATGCTATACCTGCGTTCTGGCAAATTCACGCAACACATCAGTCGAATAGAAATTGGGTCCACAGTACCATCCTGGTGTATCTGCAGCATCGAGATAATCACTATATAGGGCAGCTAAGAAGGCTGCATTGACAACATATTGAAGAGGCTGAGGCCTTCCATGGTTTAACTGTATCAAACCTCCTGTAAGAGTTAACCAAAAAGTCATGGTGAGTTACCATAAGCACAAAACTTATACACCATAAACCAAAATATAAACAAACAGGAGACAGTGTACCTTTCGTTCTGTTAAAGCTTGTGAAAACTGGAAGGTACGAGCACATAATTATGCTGGTTTGATTATGGAATGTTCTCAGGATTTCCTCGTATGGATAGCCAGGACTCAAAAACAATCTTAATCGGCTCAAAAGAACCTACAAACATAACATAGGTCACACCACTGACAAACAAATATAATATTTAAAGAATGCTTAGAACTTTTTAACAATCTTTGAAGTTTATATGTCCAATGAAATATCAACCAAGCTTCTCGAAGATTATATAAACTTCTCACCAGAATCCACCACCCAATAATTAAGACAAGGTTATGAAGGACAGCACAAAGCATGGTTGGAACCAAAACTAACTACACAGGCTACTACTTTTCAACACAATGATTGTAACAAGTAACAAAGAAGCAGCATAGGATTACCTGGGCACCAGCTAGCTTGTTGTCCCAGCTAAGAACACCATAGTCAGGACCTCCCCAAAAAGCACCAGCATGTCTTGCAATACCAGGAGTAGTAGCAAGTTGAAGATAGCTGGTGTTCCCTGTGGCATAATATAACCAAGCTCCACCCCAAACAAATTCATCATAATAACTACTGGAGTTGTAAAAGAGCGCAGGGTCAGAACCACCAGCACTGTATCTGCCCCGTTGACCCCTTGAAAACTTAAAAAGTGTTTTAGCTCCATGGACTAGTTTCTGGGAGTACGCCTTGTTGTCTTTGAAAACAATGGAAGCAGCTGCCAGAGCAGCAGCCATTTCTGCAGCAAGATCTGAGCAACTATGACATTCAAAGACAGGCCTTGGGTAATCAATGTCCTCAGGGCGCATCCAGCAATAATGATCATTGGGCGTTGTACTTCCTCCAGAAGTGTCTCCAACCCCAACCTGTCAATTGTAAATTGGGGACTGTCAATTGTCAATAGAAGAAAGCAAACCTTGGAAGGGGTTAGAAGAAGCATCATACATATAATAACATTCATATACCTGGGCGGCAATCCTGTCAATGGAATCAGCAGAGTTGTTGAAGGTCTTGAGAAGGTAGTCAGTGCCCCATTTGATGATGTCCTTAACGTGGTTGAGCTCCCCAGCAGCTTCGTATTTAGCACTGTACTCAATGACACTCCAGCTCAACATGGTCATGGCAAAAGATGCAGGGAAGTTGAACTTGATGGCATCTCCAGCATCATAATAGCCACCCACCAGGTCTTTCATCACAGTGGAGGAATCAGACTTGCCATCTTGCAGGCCGGAGTTACCCCTCCAGGACACATTGTTGTGTTTTGGCAGCTTGCCGGCTGCAAATGTGCCATGTATTATCAAGAGATTGATCAAAATTAAATAGATTATTAAGCTGCAGATCCTAGAGTAGTAGAGTTAATTTTTTTTT